GTCATCATGGCTGCGCCCTTGCGGGCTGGGGCCTCAGTGAGCTGTGTCGGGGCGCCTCTGTGGGCAGCGCTTTGGTGCCTCTGTGGGCGCGTTTTGGGCCTCTGTGGGCCTGGGCCTCTGTGGGCGCGCTTGGGGCTTCTGTGGGCTGTGTTGGGGGGTCTCAATGGGCAGCGCGCGGGGGCCTCGTGGGCGCGCTTGGCGCCTCTGCGGAGTGGGGCCTCTGTGGGCGCGCTTGGCGCCTCTGTGGGCTGTGTAAGGGGGGGCCTCAGTGTGCAGTGCGCTTGGGCCTCTGTGGGCGCGCTTGGCGCCTCTGTGGGCTGCGGCCTCTGTGGGCTGTGTCGGGGGCGTCAGTGGGAAGCGCGCTGGGGCCTCTCTGGGCGCGCTTGGGGCCTTTGTCGGCTGGGGCCTCTGCGTGCGCGCTTGGGGCCTCTGTTTGCTGTGTTGGGGGCCTCTCTGGGCAACGCGCCAGGGCCTCTGTGGGCGCGCTTCGGGCCTCTGTCGGCTGGACGTGCTTGGGTCTTCAGCGGGCTGTGTCCGCGGGCCTCAGTGGGACACGTTCTGTAACCTCTGTGGGCGCGCTTAGGTCCTCTGCGGGCAGTGTCCGAGGGCTTGTGTGGGCAGCGTGCTGGGGCCTCTGTGGGCGCGCTTTGAGCCTCTGTGGTTCAGGGGCCTCTTCTGGCCAGGGCGTGCAGGAGTACACCTTGCGAGGGCGTGCCGAGCGGGAGCCCCTGTCGTCGTAGGTGGGCCTCCGGCGCCGCTGCTGGATTTCAGTCTCTGGCTACGGGGTCTCGAAGTACAGCTTGAGGAAGTATCGAACGAGAGCCCTTGTCGTCGTACCTGATTCTCCGCCAATTTGACTGAATGACTCGGGCGTTTCGAGCGAGATCGCTACTCAGCAATAACGACAACAACGACAACAATAACAACAACACCAACACCAACACCAGCACCGACAACAACGAAAACGACGACAACACAACACCAAACCAAACACACATAAAACAAACACCATCATCACCATTCATTGTAAGAAGGTTCGCTCTTATCTGTTCGCGGGCCATTCAACGCGCTTATCCCAGACCCACCATACCTGTCCTCATCGTCTTCGATCGACCCCCCTGGTAGGATATACCCATATACATATACATGTGTAGGAATACATATTTTTCTATATATATATATATATATATGTATATATATACACATGTTACCCGAAGCGTGTATTTCGCGCAGCCCCTATGGCAGGGGAACAGAGGACGGATGGAAGGAAAGGGCGAGGGGGAGGGATGAGTAATTATGGAACACGAGAGAACGAGAGAGAAAGAGAGGGAAACAGTTTAAAACCAAACGCAGCAAAATGGGGGCCAGGAGCAGCAAACACGCGGCAAGACCACGGGGGCAGATCGGGCTGGCAGTCCTTGACGGGCGGGTCGGGAAGGCGGGCCCAGGCGGCCAGGCCGCGCAGGCGGGCTGCTGGAGCGTGCGTGTTGCATGGATCGCGTGGAAGTTTCGAACGACATTGCGATCCCCAAATCAATCGTGAGCACGTCCACATATTCTCAAGCGTCGAGGGCGCGGCATTTGAATTGATGGTGAAGAAATCCCACGCGAGACAGCGATTCCCATAGAAATGTTGGACGTCCCGTGCAAGAACGCGATTTGGGAATCCATTGCGAGGGGGTGTCAGGCGGGAGCCGTTCTCGTTTCAGTTCGGAGCCCAACGTTGTAAACATCAGGGTGCGGACCCCGGGAGAAGCATTTCTAACAATGCGGCGGTTATTTGGCCAGGGGGGTCAAGCGTAAATGTTGTTCCAGAATGTTGAACTCAACAACAGCAGTATTAGTAATACGAAGAGCAACAGCAACGCCACCACCAACAATCATTTTAAGACGGTTCGCTTTTTTTCCCTGCTCGTGGGCCCGTCAACATATATCCCGAACCATCGATACTAGCCTGTTTCGTCTTCGACCCTTGCTTGCAACGTGTATTTCGTGCAGCCCCTAAATAAAGCAGGGGAGACAACAAAAAACAGGTGGAAAGGAACGGGCGAGGGGCAGGCGGCCTGCTGAAGCGTGCGTCGTGCATGGATCGGGAGGAATGCTGAGCGATAGCACGACTCCCAGTCAAATCGCGAGGGATCCACAGCCAGAGCGTGATTCTCGAGCGTCGAGGGCGCAGCGTCTGCGAGAAAACGACTCAGGGAATACATGGTGAGGAAGTATCAGGCTGGAACCGTTGTGGTTGTGGCAGTTCGGGGGGCCAGCAACGCAGTTTGGTGGCACGTTGCTTATATATACATATACACACACGCTTACATACATATCCACTTATAACAACAATTTAATGGAACCATGCAGTGGTTGCTGGGCAGAGGTACCAACCATAGCTATTACTTAGATTTGGGAAACAAGCACCAAAAACAACAATGTTAATACTGTTTGTTCTTCTCTGCCCGAGTGCCCTTCATCGTGTCTTTCCCGAACCCTCGATACCCGCCCTCTTCGTTTTCGATAGCGCCCCCTTTGGGAGTATATGTTTCTTCGATGCTGGCCGGGCCCCGGCAAGCGGCGGGGCGGCCGCGGACCGGCAGCGCTGATCGGCGGCAGCCCGACCCCAAGAGGAACGGACAAGGGACCGACCACGACCACGACGACGACGACGACGACAACGAGCGACACCGACAGCGTCGGCGGCGGCGACAGCGAGAGCGACAGCGACAGCGGGGCCACGAAGGGCAGGGAAGGGGGCCACGAAGGGCGTCAGCGGGGCCACGAAGGACATCCGTATGGGGCCACAGAGGACGCGAGCGAGCGGGGGAGGGCAGATAATACGGGGCCACAGGGGCAACGACGAGGCCACTGAGGGTAGCAACGGGGCCACGTAGGACAGCGAAGGGGCCACAAAGGGCGACGGCGGGGCTACGAAGAGCATGCATATGGGGCCACGGCGGGCGCGAACGAGCGGGGGCCACGTTGCAGGGCATGCGCATATTGGGCCGCAGGGGCAACGACGGGGCTTTTGGAGGCAGCAACGGAGGGGGCCGCGAACGGCGACAACGGGGCCACGACACGCATGCATATGGGGCCACGGCGGGCACGAGCGAGCGGGGCCACGACGGGCATGCAGATATGGGGCCACGCATTGCAGCGAGGGGGCCGCAAAGGGCGACAACGGGGCCACGACGGGCAGCGAGGGCGCCACGAAGGGCTGCGACGGGGCCACGAAAGGGCAGCGATGGGGGTCACGAAGGGCTGCAACGGGGCCGCGAAAGGCAGCGAGGGGACCACGAAACGGGGCCACAAACATGGCAGCGAGGGGGCCACGAAGGGTTGCAACGAGTCCACCAAGGGCAGCGTGGGGGCCACGGCGGGCTGCAGCGGGGCCACGCAGGGCAGCGATGGGGCCACGAAGGGCTGCAACGGGGCCACGAAGGGCAGCGAGGGGGCCGCGATGGGCTGCAGAAGGGCCACGCAGGACAGCGATATCCCGATTCCTAAGTAAACTGCGAGGGAGTCCTAAGCGTGAGCGCGACTCCTGGGTGCCTGAGTGTCGGGAGCGTGGCGCTTGAGTAAATCGCAGGGAGATCCAACGCAAGAGCCCGATTCTTGAGCCACTTGCAAGCAAGTTTTCAGGAAATGCGCGAATCCAGAGCGCCGAGAGAGCGATTCCTGAATACGTCGTAAGGAAGTCCCAAGCGAGAACGCGATACTTGAGTAAAAAGGGGAAGTCTCAGGCGGGAACGGGGGTCCTGGCTAAATTGTGAGGGCGTCTCAGGCGGGAGCTGTTGTTGTCGTGATCCGGGGGCCAACAACGCAGTTTGAGCCTAGTGACTTTCCCTGACAACAGAAAAAACGTGCGAGCCCTGGGGGGGGCACTTGAATTGACAAAAACAACATGGTCACCGGAGAGGGGATCAATAATACTTATTCTTCCGTAGTGAGAGTTCAACACATTTTCGGACTGCTCGCTCTTACCTGCCCGCGTGCCACTCAATACGTATATCCCAAACTTTCGATACCCGCATTATTCCTCTTCGATCGTACCTCCCTGGGGGTGAATCTTCCATACCTGCCGCGCGTAATTGGTGCAGCCTTGGAAGCAGAGGAAATGAGGACGGATGGAAGGGGGAGGGTAAAGGACGGACCACGGGATGAGCCGGGGGGGGCTAGGAGCAGAAAGCACGTTGCAGAACCAGACGGGCCCATCGGGATGGTTAGACCCGAACGGGCGGGTCGGGAAGGCAGGCCCAATCGGCCAGGTCGACGAAGCGTGTTCCCAGAACGGGCCGAGACGGCTCGGGCCCCTCCCAGAGCGCCCCAAGACGGTCGAAGAGGCCCTGAAGAAGGCTCCAAGAGCGTCCCACGAGGGCCCCGAAGAGCTCCAAGACGGCGCCAGAGTGATCCAAGGCGGCACATGCAGCCCTGAGGACACTCCAGAAGGGCGCCACGAGCGGTTCAACAGGGCCCAGATAGCTCCACCATGGCCCAAGACGCATGACTTGACCCGCAGATGGCCCGAGGGCCCAACATGGCACAAGAGAGCATTTAGACGCCCTGGAGAGCCATGCTGGACACGCCGAAGTGGGCGCCAAAAGGGTTCGGACGACGTTCAAAGTTCTGCACGCCAAGGCTCCGAAGAACGAACGGTGATTGCTATCAGAGGGCATCACAGACTGCAACATCCCGAGAAGCCCCCAAAAGCACACTGCGGAGGGTCCAGGGGAAACGATTGTGCCGACAGAGGGCGCCGCACAATGGGCAGCAGTCTCGGCGCTTGATGAAGTTTTCCCTCTGCTGGTGCCTCGCAGCCGCAGGACTCCTGTCGCTGGTGCCGCCCAAGTCAGGCGGGCTACACAGGAGTACTCCTGGGAGTGCAGTCCCCACCATACTCTGGTCCTGGAGGCGCGCGGAGACGGCGCCGAAGAGTACGCCGCCCGACGTCATCATGGACGCCCTTCGGCGACATCCCCGCCTGGTCCCCGCGATTGTTGTTCTAACAGCTTTCGTGGACGTAGTCGGTGTCGCCCTAGTCTATACTCGATGGCCGGAGGAACCGCGTGCCGGAAGGAAAAAGGGCCAAATGCCGGGAAACGGCTCCGAGACGCTCCGGAGGCCGCCCCGACAGCCCAAAGACGGCTCCGAGCCGCTCCAAGACGGCTCCGACCCGCTCACGATGCCCCGAAGGCGGCCCAAGAGGGCCCCGAGACGCGCACTGATCCGGCCAAGACGCCCGAGATTGGCCCAAAACGGCCCAAGAGCTCCCCAAGACGGCCCAACAGGCCTCCCAAGAGGCCTCCCAAGAGAGCCCCGAGAGGCCAAAATCGTTGACTTTCATTGGTTTTTCCCATGTTTTTTGCTTCCTAGCTTTTTCGACTTCCCGACGCTCCGAACACCCCCCAGAGGCATCCAAGACCGCTCCAAGACGGTCGAAGAGGTCCCCAAGAGGACCCCAAGACAGTCCAAGAGGGCCCCAAGACGGTGCAAGGCGGCCCCAGGACGGCCCCAGAGGCGCCCAAGACAGGCCAACGGGACCCCAACATGGCCCGAAGAGCGGCCCAAGACGGCTCCAAGACGGGCCCACAGGGCCGCCAAGTCGGCTCAACAGGCCCCCAGAGGCTGGCCCCGGGCCGCCCGGGGCCACCCAGACAGGCTCGGACACACGCCAAGACAGCCCCAAGAGGCCCAAGCCGGCCCGACAGGTCTCCAAGGTGCTCCGTGAGACCTCCCAGGAAGCTTCCCCAGAGAGCCCCGAACAGGAAAAAACATTGTTTTTCATTATTTTTGGCTGGGTTTTTGCCGTGCTCGCCTTGTCGGCTTCCATACGATCCACGACGGCCCAAGACGTTCCCAAGACGCCTCCAAGATGGCCGAAGAGGCCCCCAAAAGAGCCCCAAGACGGGCCCACAGGGCCTCCAAATCGGTTCAACAGGCCCCCAGAGGCTGGCCCTGGGCCGCCCAGACAGGCTCGAACACACGCCAAGAGAGCCCCAAGAGGCCGAAGCCGGCCCGACAGGTTTCCAAGATGTTCCGTGAGACCTCCTGGGAAGCTTCCCCAGATGGCCCCGAGCAGGAAAAAACATGGATTGTCATGTTTTTTTGCTGGGCTCTTGCCGTGCTCGCCTTTTCAGCTTCCACACGATCCACGACGGCCTCAGACGTTCCCCAGGCGCCTCCGAGACTAAGAGGCCCCCAAGAGAGACCCAAGACGGGCCCAGAGGGCCTCCAAGTCGGCTCAACAGGCCTCCAGAAAGGCCCCAGACGCTCAAGATTGGTCCAAGATTGGCCCAAGCCGGCCCGAGAGGTCTCCAAGGTGCTCCGAGAGACCTCCCGGGAAGCTTCGCCAGAGGGCCCCAAGCAGGACAAAGCATTGACTTTCGTTGCTTTTTGCCGGGTTTTTGCGGTGCTCGCCTTCTCGGCTTCCAGGCGATTCAAGACCGCCTTGGGCGACGCCTCCCAGACGGCCGAAAAGGGACCCAAAGAGAGCCCCAAGACAGGCCCAGAGGGCCCCAAGTCGGCTCAACAGGCCCCCAGATGTGCCACACACGCTCGAGATTGGCCCAACATTGGCCCAAGCCCGCCCGACAGATCTCCAAGGTTCTCCATGGGACCTCCCCAGAAGCTTACCCACAGGGCCCCGAGCAAGACAAATACAGGCCAGGAGCCTCCGAAGACAGCCCCAAAGAAGACAGCCCCAAGAGCCGCCCAAGACGGTCCAAGACGGCCCCCAGATCGCCCAAGAGGCGCCCAAGACGGCCTAAGACGGTTCCGAGACGGCCCGGACGGCACCGACGAGAGCCCAAGAGGGCTTCCAGAGTCCCCCTCGAAGCCGAGGGGTTCACCGCCATGTGGACAGCTTTTCAGCAGCATCCCCGCCGCTCCCCCAAGAATGCTCTCGGCCAGATGTCGTGGACGGAGTCCACGGGTCAGCCCTAGTCAGCTACAACACTGGCATCAGCGCGTGCGGGAAGGGTCAGCAGTGGCAGCGGGCACTGGCGCTGTTCAGCGAGATATGGCAGGCCAAGTTGGAACCCGACGTCATCTATATTGCAAGCATGAGCGTGAGGAAAGGGCCTGAGGATCAAGTTCACCCACAATCGCTCTGAAGCGGCTCCTGAGACGTCGGCGAGGCGCGGACGATAATTATCAAACAGGTACCGTACCGCGACCCCCAAGCTGGTCGAAGATGCCGCCGAGACGCTTGGCGAGCGCTCCAAGACGCCCCACATCCCCCAAAGACCGCCCCAGGGGCATCCAGGAATATCCTCGGGGAGCGCGCCCAGAACGGCCCAGGAGCACCGCGACGACTGCCCGAGAAGGCCGCAATCATCGATTTTGAGTACGTGTTTCAAGCGTTGTTGGGTTTCCAATGTATTTCAAGGCTGGCCCCAAGGCTGCCCCGAGAGGCTAAATGACGCCCGCAGCACGGCCCAGGAGTGCTCCACGACGTCTCAAGGAGCGATGGGGAAGCGGGGCGGCCTCCGAGCCCTCGGGGGGATGAGGACGATGTTGCGAAGGCCTTACGGCCGATGCCGCCGACCTCGTAGGCAGCGACGACGAAGACAATGGAGGTAGAGGAGTCCAAGAGGCCCTCAGATGGCTCGAAGACGGCGCCGGACGCCTGCAAGGTCGTCCGAAGACAGCTCCAGAGACCTCCTCCAGGGTTCGGGAACGGCTCAAGAGAGTGCCAAGATGGGCAACGAGCGCCCTCAAGTGGCCCGATAAATATTTCAGGGCTGGACCTAAACGTTGTGTTGCGGGACTTCGGCTGTGTTTTGTTTTTCGCTGTTGGCAAAACGAAAAACAGAACGCAACACAACGAAAAACAACATTTAGCTCCAGCCCTGCGATAGTTATCGCAAGGTTGGCGTGTACGGCGCGGCGGCGGCGAAGGGGACGGCGGCAGACGCGGCAACTGCAGCGCCTGTTGCGGAGACGGCGGCGGCAGGCGCCGACGACGGAACGCACAGTGCAAGTGTCGCTCCCGCTGTCCAGCGAGATGTGGAAAGCGAACACGGGGCCTAACGTTGTCGAGTGCGCTCGGCGGCATCTCTTAGTCCCCCCCACGACTGGACGTGGTCCACGGGTCAGCCCCAGTCAGCCCCAAGAGCGCTCCCAGAGCGCCCGAAGAGGCCCCCCATCGGGTGCCACAGTGCACCCCCCTGTAGCACAGCACCCGTCGGGTGCTTTCCCAGGGCCTCCTTGGGGCCGCCATCGGGCCGCCGGGCTTCCCAAGCCACATCATCTACGACCTCTTTCGGCCAATTGGCTGTCGCCGCCCGTCGCCCCTGCCGCGTGCCAGGGCACATCCGGATTTGCTCCCAGTCTCGCCTGCCATGCAGCGATCTTTGCGTGCGAGAAGGTCCTCTGTCCCAAGAGTCAGGAGGGAAAGAAACACACAGACACAACTAATCGGCGATTTTCTCAGAAAATATGGGTAACTATGGGAAGTGGGGGGGAGGACAAAAACCCAGAACATATGGGAAAATATGGGGAATCTTTTTATGTGTGTGTATTTATTTGTGTGTTCCAGTTCCCCTTCAAAATGGCCGCCCGGGCCCTCCAGGGCGCCCTCTGCGATCCTCCCGGGCGCTCCGAGACGGCTCCGAGGGGCCCCCAAATGCCCCAAACCGGCCCCAAGACGGCTCAGAGACGGTGGTCGTTTTTTTCCCAAACAGATTGCTGAACGGGGTGCTGTTGTGATAGAATATAACTCCTGCCGAGGGAAAGGGGAGCAGAGACATCCTCACAAAAATCTGATGGTCCGGGCCGTTTCGCTAGAGACAACCTCACAATTCTCGTTTCTGAGTTGGCCGGGATTGGCCGTTTCGCCTGAGACATCCTCGAACCGGCCCCGAGACGGCTCAGAGACGGTGGTCGTTTTTTACTCATTGGTTTGCCGATCGGCGCGGGCCCTCGCACCACCCCCCTCACCCCCCCCCGTGGAGTAGATCCTGGCTGTTTTGGGCGCCTGCTTCGAGCAGGTGGAGTCTCCACCATAGGACGCACGGTTCCAAGCAGTCGCGCCAAGCAGGGGTCCGGAGCCCGACCCCCTCCCTCCCCCCCCTTCCGCCCAATGTTGAAGCGCCGAATAATAATAATATTAATAATAATAATGATAATAATAAGAATAATACTAATAATAATATTACCTATACGACCACCCTTCGGGTGATAAGGAGGTTCGGGGGGGGAACCAAGGTCTCATTCGATCGGTCTCACTATCGATCTCAGTATCGATCTCACTATCGGTCTCGCTCGATCGATCTCACTCGATCGATCTCACAATCGATATCACTCGATCTATCTCATTCGATCGATCTCACAATTGATCTCACAATCGATCTCACAATCGATCACAAAATCGATCTCGCATTCGGTCTCAATATCGATCTCACCATCGATATCACAATCGCTCTGACAATCAACGTCATCATCATCATCAACATCATCAACATCAACATCATCACCAACATCGTCATCATCATGAGGGCACCGTCATCATCATCATCATAAACATCATCATCAATGTCAGCATCATCATCGGGACAACATCATCATCATCATCATCATCGCATCATCAACATCATCATCATCATCGGGACACAGTCATCATCATCAGCATCATCATAATCATCATCATAATCGGGACACCATCATGATCACCATCGTTTTCGTCATCAACATTATCATCAACATCGTCATCATCCTCGGGACACCATCATCATCATGATCATCGCATCACCATCATCGACATAATCATCATCAACATCATCATCATCATTGGGGCACCATCATCATCATGAGCAACATCATCATCAACATCGTCAATATCATTATAATCATCAGCGGGACACCATCAGCATCACCATCATCATCATCACCATCATCATCATCAGCATCATCATCGGGACACCATAATCACCAACATCATCATCATCATCATCATCATCATCAACATCATTATCGCCGGGACACCATTTTCATCAACATCATCATCACCAACATCATCGGAATCATCATCATCATCGGGACACCATCATCGTCATCATCATCAACATAATCTTCATGAGCATCATCATCCTCATCATCGGGACACTATCATGATCATCGACACCATCATCATCATCATCATCATCATCATCATCTTCATCGGGACACCATCATCATCTCATCATCCTTATCATCATCATCATCATCATCATCATCATCCATCATCAACATCATCATCATCATCATCATCATCATCATCATCATCATCATCATCATCATCATCATCATCATCATCATCATCATCATCATCTCATCATCATCATCCTCGCGGGACACCGCGGGACACCGGCGGGACACCGCGGGACACCGCGGGACACCGCGGGACACCGCGGGACACCGGCGGGACACCGCGGGGCCCCGGCCGCCCAGAAGGGAGTCATTTGGTCCGGCCGCGCCTCAGCCACACGGGACACCAGCGGGACACCGGCGGGACACCGCGGGCCCCCGGCCGCCCGGAAGGAAGACATTTGGTCCGGCCGCGCCTCAGCCACAGGAGACTTTCTCTCGCCCGCCCACGCAGCTTCGCCTCGCCCGCACGGCACGCACGAACACGAAACCGAAATCGATTTCCCGGTAGGGGGGCTCTCCGTTCCACTTCGATCTCACCCCCAAACCTCCGATTAATAGTGATAATAATAATCATGATAATAATAATAATAATGATAATAATAATAATAATAAGAATGAGAATAATAATAATCATAGTAGTAATAATAATAATACTTAGTATTATTATTATTATTATTACCATTATTATTATTATTATTATTATTATTATTATTATTATTATTATTATTATTATTATTTTAAAAGCAAGCACCCAAAAAAACGCTCACACGTTCAAGAGGGCGCCCGGACGCCCCAAGAGGACCTCAAGCGAGCCCCAGGATGTCCCCGGAGGCCTCCAAGGCAGGGCCGGAGGCTCCCGAGACGGCCCAGGAGGATCTCCAGGAGAGCCCCAAGAGGCAAGCATCGCTTCATTTTCGGGATGTGTATATATATACATATATATATATATATATATATATGTATATATGTATGTATACAATATACATATATACATATATACATATATATATATATATATATATATATATATATATCGATGCCCTTTCTTTTCGTCAGCACAGTCTCCACCCCCAAGAAGCCCCGGGAGGGCCCCCATAACGGCCCCAAAACGGCCCCAGGCGGCCCCTGGACGGCTCGAGGGGCGCCCGAGACGGACCAAGGGGCACCCAAGACAGCCCTAAGAGCGGTCAATACGATAACGTCCCAAGACGGCCCCAAGATGGCCCGAGGAGCGCGCCAGACGGCCCCACGTCGCCCCAAGACGGCCCCCAGAGGCACTCCGAGCGACCCAGGAGGGCCCCGAGAGACCCCCAGGAGGCCGAGAAGGGGCCCCCAGACGGCGCCCAAGAGGCCTTGGATGCTTGTCCCTTGGGGGGCGTCGGCACTTCCAGCGTCGTCGTGGGGGCCTCTTCGACCCTCTGGGAGCCATCTCTGGGCCTTTGGGGGATGCCTGCGGGCAATGAGCTCGAAAGGTCGATTCGTGTCCTCGCACTGGGCACGTCTTAGGGAGTACGTGGGGCCCTCTCGGGCGGTTTTGGAGGCCTCTTGGCCCATCCTGGAGGCCTCTTGGGCCGTCTCGGCGCCCTCCTTGCGGACCGCTTAATTGGGTCGGAGTTCCCAACGAACAAACAGGAACATGCCCACGCCCACCGGCCCCATTCTCGGCACGCTACCAGAGAATGATCGTTCGGCCCCTGCGAAGAGCAGATAACATTATCAAGGCGGCCCGCCCCGCAGAAGCTATGATGAACACAGAACGCGGCGTGAGAAACAGCTTCAGTCCACACTGCGTCGTGCTAACATGAGTGTACTTCAACTGACACCGCCTCCACCACCGCGTTGCTGCCTTCAGGCCTTCTCGCCTGCATCCCTCACCCATCTCTCCCAGCGGCCACCGCCTCCATCCACACCGCTCCCTCCAACCTTCCCCCCCCCCGCGAGGCCCCGAGACACTTCATTTCCACGTCCACACCACGACGGGCAGATTGTGGCCAGAAGGCCGCGGGTCAGCCCTAGTCAGCTACAGCGCTGTGATCAGCGCGTGCGAGAAGGGCGAGCAGTGGCGGCTGGCTCTGGCGCTGCTCAGCAAGATGTGCGAGTCGAAGCTGGAGCCCGACGTCATCTCTGCTACCCTGCAGGTCCCCGCGAGTGCAGGAAGGGTCCTGAGCTAACTCAGTTAAAATCGGCCCCACGGGCCCCGGCGTGCTTCCGGGCGCTTCCGGGGTGCTCCCAGACGGCCCCACAGGGATCCCTGAGCTCAAGAGTGTCCCGATACATTTCGAGGATATGTGTTAGACGGCCCCAGAGAGCTCCAAGAACGGGCCCAAGATGGCCTCCCGACAGCCCCAAGGGGCCCCCAGCACGCTCCAAGACAGTTCAAAAAATACCTGCAGGAGAGCCTCCACCACCAACGACAATTGATGCTCTGTTCCCCGAGCAGTGGTTGCACCAGGGGTTCTCACGTTCCTTACCCAAACATTTGGATGGGTCAGAAGAGAGTTCACCTGGTGCCCGCCCGCGAACGCCTTGTAGGCGCCTCGTGCGTTGGGTGGCTCAACCGAGGTTTCGCCTGGTGCCTGCCACTGGGCGCCTCGTGGGTGCCGCGTGCGCTGGGTGGGTCAGCCGAGGTTTCTCCTGGTGCCTTGTGGGCGCCATTCTGCTGGTCGGGGTGTGCTGAGGTTTGGCCTGGCTGCCGCCGGGGCCAGGCTGCGGCCGCCGCAGCAGGCTGGGGCTGAGGCCCGCCGGGCCGGGCGCGGGCCGGCGCGCCGCCCTTCCCCCCCCTTCCCTTTTCCCGCCCTCGTCCCCTGCGCCTCCCCCGTCGTCCTCGTCCGTCGTCCGTCGTTCGTCTGTCGTGTCGTGCCACTGGGCTCCGTCCTCGCTGGTAACAAAAAGTGCTGAGGTTTCGCCTGGTGCACGCCTGTGCGCGCCCGTGGGAGCCTCGCTGGCGCCTCGCGCGCCGAACGGCCACAAATCTCGCAGCAGATACGAAGCTCACCACACAGCTTGCACAGCTCAACGCAACCCTTTGTTGCGCCCCGCTGGTTGCACAGCATGGATCGCAGCACAGCTTGCGCCGCATAGCTTGCGCCATGCAGTTGGCGCTGCACCTGTGTTGTACCACGTAGCTTGCATCACACGGATGGCACCACATCGCTCAAACCCTCCATGGTGCAAGCGTATATTTGCTTGGGGCTCACGAAGGTAAGCTTTCGTATGATGCGTGCGCACCAAATGACACCAGACTAGCAACCCAATCAATGGCGCCTTTGGCACTTTCGAAAAGAAGCCACGTCTGTTCGCTCACTCTCTCTGTCTCTCTTATGTATCTCTCTGTCTCCTCTCTCTCTCTCTGTCCCGTCCCACTCTCTCTCTGTCACACGACATGCTCTGCGCAATGCATATCCTTCTCACCTCGCCATTCGCGCTACTACACAACGTGTACATTTTTGAGCATGTCGACATTCCTGTTTCTCTCTCTCTCTCTCTTTTGTGCCGCGTGCTTCTTCTCTCTGTCTCTCTCTTGTTTTTGTGTTCTCGTTCTTTCCCCCTCTCCTTGTCTCTTTCTCTCTCTCTCTCTCTCTCCTATCTCTCTCTTTCTCTTTCTCTCTCTCTCTCTCTCCCTTTCTCTCTCTATCTCTTTCTCTATCCCATTCTACATTTTTACAGATCTATACATATAACTAGTGTTTTCAATTGTCCGTTTCCCCCCTTCGGTTCTGGTATACCTATATATATATACATGTACATATGTGTGTTTCTGGATTTCCACGTGTGAGCGATACACTGTCATTGCGCCTCATGTGAAGCTCCACATGTCTGTATGCACGTACGTATGTATGGCAGTGTTCGGAATTATTCTTTCTTTCTGTACATATATGTGGTTTACTGCTTGGTCCCAACATTGAGTATTGTTAGCGATCCATGTGGTGCAATGTATTGCGTGCAATCTATATGTGCCACATGTGTGCAATCTACGTGGTGCGATCCATGGGGTGCAGTTTTATGTTGGCCGACTGCGTCGTACAATCTTTGTCTTGCCATCTCCATATATCTATCTCTATATATATATACATATAGATTCCTCTTCTTATATTTTTATAAGCCCGGGCGGGGGGGAAACCCGTCCCCCCCCAAAAAAAAAACCGGACTCCCGGGATCTGGGGCTTTGGCGCCCTTCGGACGGGCCTCGAAGCGGCCCCCCGGGCCTCGCAGGGCGTTTTGCCAAGCCTTCGCAGCACTCCTAGGGCGATCAGGGGGGTCATCGGAGACGTCCTGGAGAACCCGAGGACAGCACAAGAGCGCTCCAAGAAGCCGTCATACCCCGAAAGATCGCTCCAAAACGTACCAAGAGGCCTCCAAGAGCACCCCCAAGAAGGCCCCAAGAGGGACAAATAATTGATTTAATGTAGATTTTTGGTGAATTTGGGGTTCTCATCTTTTCGGCTCCCGACGCTCCAAGACAGCGGTCTTCTGGGCGTCCGAAGTCGCCTGGAAGGCTCCAAAACCGCCCCACAGCCATCCGAAAGGGCTTCAAGGCAGTCCAAGAGAGCCCCAAAACGGCGCACCAGGGGTCCAAAATGGCCCTAAGAGAGCCCCATGGCGGCCCAAGATGGCCCCAAGACACCCTCCGAAGCATTCCAAATCGTGACCGGGGCGTTCAGGGAGACCGCGGTTAAATGCATGTTGCCCTTAGGAAGCCCCAGAGGCCCCCAGAACACGCCCAGGAGGCCTCCAGAAGGCTTAGGAAAGCTTGAGAACTTTGGTGAGGCCCCCAAAGGCTCTCCAAGGAGGACCCTCCGCAAAAAGAGCTGAGGAGGATGGGGAGAATGCCCAGGGTATGGCGAGAATGAGGAAAAATAAGCATGGAGCCAGGATAACGAACAACATTATCATAATGGCGATGCCAGAAAAGGCAGCAAGGAGTTATCGTTAAAGTGTCCGCTTGACCTTCCTGCCTCTTCCACCTGCGTAGCAGTCTTCAAGGACCAAGGTGCATGGCGCGGAGCGCCACTGCAGTCTTGTATATATATATATATATACACATGTGTGGTGTCACGCATGATGTGCAAAATCCGTAACGCAATCCACGTGGTGCAATGAATCTACGAGGTGCTGTCTCACTTCGCCGAAGTTGAAGTTGTCGACTCCACTGCTCGCGCAATCATCCCACCCACCCACCCGCAATTCGGTTTGCAAGACCCATGCGGTGGGGATTGCGATGCGTGCGTGGCGTTGGCTAGTGCGTCTCTGCGGCCGCGCCAACCCAAGCACGCGCGCGCAGCGGCAGGCTAGTTTGGCGAGGCGGATGCGGCTGTGGTGGCGCTGATCGCTGGGCTGATCCCAGCGGCACTTCAGTGCGAGTCGGCGAGTGAGACGGGCGCGGTATCGTGGCAACGTCGACACCGGTACACACGGTGATGGTCGTAGCGATGTTGGTGGCGATGTTGACACCGACGGCGAAAAGGCCAGTGCGGGCGCCGATGTTGACCACACCGACGACGATGACGGCGTCCTCGCATCGGTCATGAACGTTTTGGAAAGAGTTTGACATGCGCGCGCGGGTGGCGCGCGAGAGTAGCCCGAATGGTGTTATTTGACACTGATCGTGCCCCGCCAGCACGCGCGCAAGGGCGCGCGAATGATTCCGGCATGCGGCGCGACAGGGTCGTTGGACAATACAAGCTAATTCGCAAGAGCGCGGTCGCAGGTTGGTTTGAAACTGTTGTTGCGAAATCTTATGTTGTTTTATAGTGCTATGGACATTCGGTTTGACATCGCTACGAAACCGAAGGTTTTTGACCGATTCTGGCACGCGGTCTTGACAACGCGCGCGCGTGCGATTCGTTTTTTTCTGCAAAGGGCTCTCGAAACGACACGCGCGCAAGGGCGTTCGAAGGATTCCGAAATGCGCACGCGCGAAGCCCGTTGGGCAGCATGTTCGGAAATAGTGACACCCTTATGGGTCGCTAAAAATTAGCCAGGGAGTGCGCGCAAGTTGTTTTGAACATCCGTGTTGAAAAAAAAAATCGCATGTGTTTCTCCATGTGTTTTTGGACACCCGTTTTTGACACCCTTTAGGGACCGAGGGTCGTGGACGGATTTCGGCACGCGCGCGCGACAACGCACGCGTGTGCACTTCGTTCTGTTTGTTGCAACGGGTTTCTGAACATGGATGATATGTTTGTGATTTGTTGCAGGGGATGGCGGGGTGTGGATACCGGTTCGGCTGGGATGGCACGAGGTCATTCCTAACACAGGGGATGGGTCAGAATCGTATGCAATTTGCCATACGGAAGAAATGACGATAATCCCAGGGCTGGGTCGTGCCTGTTTTTTGTATGTTCTGCGTGGTGGAATTTATTATTTTCGCTGTGAGTTGTCAACCCCACTGCTCGCGCAATCGACCCTATCGCCCACCCGCATCTTGGTTTGCCAAGCCCATGCGGCGGGGATTGCCATGAATGCTTGGAGGCGGCTGGTGCATCGCTGCGGCTTCGCTAGTCCGCGTATGCACGCACGCGCAGCGGCCGCTCAGCTCTGCGCCGCCGACGCAGCCGCGGGGGCGGTGACCGCCGGGTACTTTCCCAGCAAACATTTCAGCGCGAGTCGGTGGCTTGAGCGGGCGCGGTATCGTGGCAACGTCGACAACGGTATACGCGACGATGTTGGCAGCGATGCTGTCGACGATGATGACAACGACGACGGCAAGGCCGCTGACGGCGCCGATGCTGATGACGCCGACGGCGATGACGGCGCCCTCCCGTTGGCGATGCGCATTTTCGGATGGAGTTCGACATGCGCGTGCGGCCGACGCGCGAGAGTGGCCCGCCCGCATGGAATTATTTGACACGGATATCGTGTCCCCTTTCCGAATCCCGCACGCGCTCAAAGTTCCTCGGATGATTTCGGTGTGCGGCGCGAGGGGCCCGGTTGGCCGAATTTAGTGAACACGTGGGGGATACAAACGGTGTGTTATTTAAAAGTAGTCTGGTGAAGGACCCAACATCGGTGGAGCTCCCTACGGGGCTTCGAACCGTGTGATGGGTGTGCCAAGCTGGGGTGGAACCGCGTTCGAACTTTGCCACTGGGGCCTTTGGTGGAGAGCCCCAATGTGGAGCCACGAGCCGTGTGAGTGGTGTGCCCAAATCGGGGTGGGACAACGTGCGCTTCGCCAGTGCCAGCTCTGACTGGAGAAAGATCACGTCTATTCGCTGGCCCGGGCTTCGCACCGCCTACGAGGGTCCCAGAGGCTCCCCCACACCGCCCCGCGCGAGCTCGAGCGGCGCCCCGAACCGCAGGATTGCCCAACAAGGCTCGGAGACGGCCCGACAGGGAAGTCTGCACGACGGTCCAAAGAGACCGCCAAGATGCCCCCGAGACAGGCCCAGTGCGGCCTTGGAACGCACCAAGGTGGCCAACGGCTCCCCCCGTGCGTAGCCACGCTCCTCCAAAACAGTTCCCAGTTACACCGAAAGCCGACCAGATGGCTCCAGGAGGCCTGGGAGGGCCCATGGGCGCTCAAAAGGCTCCACAGCAATCTCCCCAAGCTGCCACCCACAGACGTCCTCGATCCCCTCACGAGGCCCCGAGAGACCCCTGAGAGGTCCCTCGTTCCCCCCCCTCCCGCCCTGGCTTTCACCAGCCTTCTTCTTCCCCTCTAACATCGGCCGTCGATCCTCCCGATTGTGAACCCCCTCCAGCCCTGGCTCATGAAACCCTCAGACTATCACCCTTGTTGTAGCATCCGTCTGGTGCCCCCTGAAGGGTCGTACGGAGCCCCTGTTGGCCGTTGGCCCCTGCTTGGGCCTTTTTGGGCTACACTAGAAGCTTTTCGGGCTCTTTTGAGGCTGGCGCCCAACCGCCGCAAGAGGCCTTCAAGACGCTCCAGACAGGCTCGCAGAAGGGCCCAACATGCCCCCGACAATGACCCAGAGACGCCCCAGCTGTTCAACGTCAACGAGCTGTTCACCCACGGAGCGTACCCCAGGCTCAGCACAACGTGGATGTAATCCACGGGTTCACGCTAGTAATCTACAGCGCTGGGGTCAGCGCGTGCGAGAAGGGTGGGCAATGGCAGCATGCGTTGGCGCTGCTCAGAGAGATGTGGGATTCGAAGGTGGAGCCAGACGTCATCATCTACAGCGCTGGGATCAGCACTTGCCGGAAGAGTGGGCAAGAGCTGCGAGTTTTGGGACGTCTCCAGATGGCTCCAAGAAGGCCCCAGATGCTTCCAAAAGGGCCCAAGAGGCTTACGTAAGCACGCCAGAGGGCGCAAGACGATCACGAGATAACCCAAGATGTGCCTGCAGGCTTTCCAAGATGGCCCTATGACAGCCCCAAGACCGCCCCATTATGGACACGAGGTATCCCAAGGCAGGCCCCAGACCCTCACAAAACAGCACCCAGGGTCCTCACAGAACTCACAGGTGGCCCCTGGAGTCCATGCAGGGCCCACTGGAGCCCAAGAAGCCCCAGAGGAGGCTCCAAGATTGCCCGAGCTTGTCCTCAAGAGGGCTCCGTGAGCGACCCAAGAGGCACCAGGTGCTCGCGAACACGCGCGTCGAGGCCACGTGGAGACTTGTGTGGTGGCCACCGCTCATGACGCCCCCAGGGGAGCCCAAGGCGCCCCCAAATGAGGCTTCAAGATGGCCCCAGGTTGGCCTCAAAAGGGCCCCACGGGCGACTCGAGAGGAACCGCGTGCTCGGCCACGAGCGTGGCGGCCATCTTGAGCTTCGTGTGCTGGCCGCTGTTAGAGGCTCCCTCCCTCCTCACTTCTGCACTCATTGCTCCTCGCACAGTGCTCGTTTGTGTTCGTCGCTCCTCTCTCCTCGCTGCTTGCTTCTCTGTATTACCACTCCTCCTCGCTCCTCCCCGTTGGCTAATCGCACCTCCCATTCCCACTCCTGCCCCCTCGGCCCCCCCTCCAGTCCCCGGAGGCTTCAGCACTCATCTGACCCAAAAGTGGGCTCCAAGATACAGTGGAGACCCATGCCAAGAAACGCCCTGCTCGCCTTCAGGGTGCCCTGGGTTTTCTTGGGTTTCGATTGGTTTGCATTGAAACGCGAGACGTCCCCCCACCAAAAAATCAATGGACATCCTGGGATCTCAGGGTTGGGTTTCTTGTGGGAGGTTTCTTGTGGTCAGGCCCCTGTTGTACGTCTGCTCATCCCTCCTCCCTGGGCTGCCAGAAAACCCTAGGTGCGTACGAGATAGTTCCAGAGAGTCCCGATCAGTCCTCGACAGATCCCATCATCGACGTTCTCGTTGCCAAAGATGTTCCAACAATCGCTCCAGAGAGCGCCGCGAGGTCCCCACTGAATCCCGGCACTAGCACGCAACAGCCCGTAGCATTCAGTCGGGCATGCCCCTCTGCAGGAGAAATATTCAAAATTAGTTAACAAATAGTTTGTGGACGTTTTTGTTGATTATTGTTTGATTTGTGTTGGGATATTTGTTGATTATGTCTTTCATCCAAAACCGGCCTGTAGGGGACATGCCCAACCTACACGTAGCAGGCAGCAACAGAAATCTCTGACACCAGGCTGTGCCAGCAAGTTTTGAGCATCGATATCCAGCAGCAGCACCAGGCAACAACAAGCAGCAGCAGCAGTAGGGAGCAGCGGTAATCATAAGCAGCACACGCAGCAACAGCATTTTCTGTCCACTTCGTGCACGCGGAAGGCGGGCAAGCCAGAACAACGTAAGATTGACATCCTCATTTTGGATGCACCAGCCTATCCGCGGTTTTCGGCGTGTAGTCGGTTGGACGTCTTTTTCTCCCCCCACGGCCTGCGGGCTGACCCCATCCTTTGCTCTCATACGCTTCATGCGTGAGAGAGAAGCACGCAGCAACAGCACGACACAGCACGCAGCAGTAGTCCAGCAGCATCACCTCGCACCAAGCAGCAACACGCAGCAGCACCGAGCCGCAGTGAGAAGAGGCAACACGCACCAACACATACTGGCCAGTCTGGGCAAGGCACCGCAAACAAGAGGACGTAGCGGCAAGTAGCAGCAATAAGCAGCCATCGACACCAAGCGACAGTAGGCGGCAGGGAGCGGGCGAGCAAGCAACGAGGCCGGCAGCACGCAAGCCAGGCGAGCAGGCCCGGAGTTGTGGGTCCGCAGGACTGCAGGCAGGCAGTTCCACAGACAAGCTATACGCACCTTTGCGTGCGGGTGAGCGTTCGTGCCCTTCGAGATTCTGGAGGGGAAGAAACACAGAGACACGCTTCATCGTCGACCCCCACGGAAAGATAGGAAGATATGGGGGAGGAAGACGAAGCTACAGAAGACATGGGAGTTGTGTGTGTATTCATTTGTGTGTTCCTTGGCCCCTGCAGAGATGATTCCGATCAGATCAGCCCGCTTGCCGTGGACGTAGCCCACGTGCCAGCAATCGTAATCTACAGCAGTGGGGTCAGCGCGTGCGAGAAGGGCGGGCAGTGGCAGCAGGCTTTCGCGCTGCTCAGCGCGATGTGGGATTCGAAGGTGGAGCCTGACGTCATCCTTTATAACGCTGGGATAAGCGCTTGCGGGAAGGGTGAGCAGTGGCAGCGCGCTTTGGTACTATTCAGCGATATGCGGGAGGCGAAGTTGACGCCCGGCATCTCTTCTCTGCAATACCACGAGCGGTGCGTGCCAGAAGAGTGCCACGATACGGTGTCAACAGATCGGCCTGGCAAGCCCCAGCACGTTCCCGCCCCGCCGGAAAAAGTAACCGAAGGCTTCGGGTTGGCTTTTCCCTGGGCGGGGGCCCAACGTGGAGGCCCGCCAGGGGGACCTGCTGGTCGTGGACGAAGTCCACGGGTTCGCCCTAGTCAGCTACAGCGCTGTGACCAGCGCGTGCGAGAAGGGCGAGCAGTGGCAGCAGGCTCTGGAGCTGCTGAACGAAATGCGGGGCACGAAGCTGGAGGCCGACGTCATAAAGTACAACGCTGGGGTCATTTGCCGCATTGCGGGTCCCTGCGCGGGCACGAAAGTTCCTGCGCCAATTCAGGGAAAGTCGGCCCCGCAGGCCCCAACGCTTTTTTGGGCGCCCCGATATGGCCCAGGAGGGAATGCCAAAACGGCTCTGGAGATTTCCGGGAGAGCCCCAAGGCAGTCCAAAATGCCCCCCTGACGACCCCAAGAGGTCCCCCAGCGCGCCGCAATACGGTTCAAAGAGGACCCCCAGGGGAGCATCCAGCACCAGAAACCATTGAGTCTCTGGACGTTTGCTGAACATTTTTGTGTGCTCGCTTTTCCAGGCCTCGCATCGCCCACGAGAGCCCCAGAGCTTCCGTGACATCGACCCGCGAGAACCCGAGAGGCCCCCAAGACGGCCCAAGTGGCCACAGACATGCCCCCCAAGACGGGCCCAGGGCGGCCCAAGAACGCACCAAGATGGTCCTAAGCTTGCTCCCGAACGTCCCTGGACTGCCGCTCGCATGTCCGCAGGCGGCTTGGGAGGGCCCCGTGGGAGCCCAAGAACCCCCCCCAAAAAAAAACAGAAGCCCGAGAAACCGAGAGGCCCCGAGAGAAGCCAAACGGCATCCCCGCACGAGGCCCTGAGAGACTTTCCAAAAGGTCCCTTCCCCTGCCGCCTCCCCTCGCCAGGTCGCCTCTCTCTTTTTTCGCGTGTTCCTCCCTTCGTGCCTCTCTCTCTCTCCTCGGCTGTCGCTCCTCCCCTCTTCCCTCCTCGCACCTCGTTTCTCTCCATCTCTCAGCGGCCTTTTCGACCCTGATTCCTGCATTTTTTTCTGGCGGCACATTGCGTCAGGAAGCTGAGGTAGCGAGAAGTTGCACCTTACAGTAGCAAGCAGCAGCAGCAGCAGCAGCAGCAGCAGCAGCAGCAGCAGCAGCAGCAGCAGGCAACGGCAGCAGCACGAAGAGGGCAGCAGCGGCAGCACACAGCAACATCATTCTCCGCCCCTGCCACAATTTCCGGATTTGCGACGGGTGAAATCGAGCCAGAACACCATACCGAGCTTCACATCTAGATTCGCGAGGGCTGACATCGAGCTAGAACATTCGGACTAGCCAGAGGAGTTTCTGGCGAACACGCCTGTTTGATTTCGAGCCAGGACACGATCGTGAGTTTCATGTGTGCGCCTCATGTGTGCGCCACACCGAGCCACAACGCCATACAGCGAGCTCCACTTCAGCATCAAGTCGAGCCAACGCGCAATAGTGAGCCTCATTCCTTGATCCGGGAGGCAGAGTGAGCCTCATTTTTTGGCTTTGTCATGGCTGAAAAACCGAGCCAGAACATGATAGCCTTTTAGATTCCAGACCACCGCCCGAACGTTGAGCTGTTGCCAGTCGGCTCCCCTTGGTGGAGATTCTGATGAGAGGGATTCTTGAGCACCGGCAGAACCCTGCAGCGAAACGCAGGCAAGGAACAAAACGTACCACACCAGCTCCCTCCGAACGGCCCCGACAGGCTCCCAGAAAAACCAAATGGTGTACCTCTTTGGACACCCCTCGCGTGGACACCTCCTCCGCTTCTGCGGCCAAGCAACGCCCAACCCACCCCGAGAAACCCCCCCATCGACCGGAGGGCGCCCAGGGAGCTTCCAAGAAAACCTTTGTAACGGCCCCAAGACGGCTGCGGGGAGTCCCAAGACGGCCGAACAGCCTTCCAAGACGGCCCCAACACTGGCCCAACAAGGCGAACGTTGGATTGCCCCCCCCCCCCTCCCACGGTCAGCAAACCTCCAAGAAGCCCCCCAGAGGCTCCTAATACAGCCTCCGGAGCACTCCCCAGAGGCTCCCTGAAAGCTTCCAGCAGATCCCTCGAAACGGCTCTGACATTAAAACAAGTGATACTCCACGGGCTCCTCCAAGGCCTCCACCAGCTCCCACCGAACTGTTCCGATTGGCTCCCAGAAAGCGCAGTCTCATGCGAAAAAACCATACACACACACCACACCTCTCGGGACACCTATCTCGCGGGAATGGTTGCAGAAAATGGCTGTCAGACCCAGTTGCGCCCACCTATGAACGCTGTTTCAGCGACCCCTCTCGCGACGAGCGAGTCCCAAGAGGTGTGGGTGCGAATTTTTGGGAAGTCATCGTTGGCCTCCTACTCCTCCTCCAGTCGTCGCTCTCCTCCGTCACATGCGCTCCCGCCAGCGGAGTCGGAGCCACAAGATTTCCAGGAGGGGAAGGAGGAGGAGGATGAGAAGGAGGCGGAGGGGGAGGGGGAGGGGGAGGACGAGGAGGAGGAGGAGGAGGAGGAGGAGGAGGAGAAAGAGGAAGAGGAGGAGGAGGAGGACCAGTGTAAACCCAACAGGCATCAACGGTGTTGGAATAAACCCTATCTCCAAACTCCCTGTCAATAGGTCCCTACAACGGCTCATTTCCATTGAAGGAACTGCCTCTTTGAAAGACGACCGTTTGAAGACCCTGAAGCATGCCAAAACAATGTCTCGGGGTGACAACGCCACGGATTTACTTGACTGTTGCGTGTTGACAATCCTGAATCGTGCCAGAACATGATTCCTGGGACCTCAACACAACGAATCAACATAGCTGTTGCACCCGCATCATCCAGAATCCTTTAAACATTATTACTGACAAGTTGATGATGGAGAATATGTGAAACTCGTGCAACTTCCTTAAACGAATGTGCGCCGCGCTAAGGCGAGAACCACATTTTGAAAAGGAACTGCCCTCAATCCGTGCAACGTTTGCAAATGTTTAAAGCGAATGTGCGCTGCGCTAAGGCAAGAGCCACATTTTGAACCCCCCCCGCCCTCAATCCGTGCAACTCTTGCACATGTTTAAAGCGACTGTGTGCCGCGCTAAGGCGAGAACCACATTTTGAAAACGGCCCGCCCTCCATCTGTGAAATGGTTGCCATGTTTCAGATTCAAAGTCATAAATGGTGAGGAGGTCTCAGGCGAAACGCCTGGCCCGCCCTAAACACTGGCCTCCGGTTTGCGACAGGGAGAAGTTATAAGGAAAAGGAATGGAGGTGGAGGAGGAGGAGGAGGAGGAGGAGCAGCAGCAGCAGCAGGAGGAGGAGGAGGAGGAGGGGTTGTCGGCGGAGGAGGAGGAGGGGAGGAGGAGGCGGAGGGGGAGGTGGAGGAGGAGGAGGAGGAGGAGGAGGAGGAGGAGGAGGAGGGGGAGGAGGAGGGGAAGGAGGAGGGGGAGGAGGAGGAGGAGCAGGAGCCGAAGGACGAGGTCAGACCAAGCACGACGAGGAGGAGGAGGAGGAGGAGCAGGAGCAGGAGGAAGATGAGGAGTAGGAGGAGGTGGAGGACGAGGACGAGCCACGCCCGAGGAGGAACTGAGGGCGGAGGAGGAGGAGCTGCTGCCGTTGCTGCTGCCCATGATCCTGGATCTGCTGCCGCTGATTGTGCTAGCGCTGCTCTGGACGCCGTCAGAATCATCAGGCAAACCGAGCACCCTGAAGCAATGAGCAGCAGCAGGGGCGCTCTGACCACTGGCACTCGTGGACAGCATTCCACAGGTCAGCCCTAGTCTCTCCTACAATGGCTGGCCCAGCGCTCGCGGATGGGCCGATCGGTGGCAGCGGGCCGGCCCAGGCAGGCGGCCCTTGCGAGCCCCAGCAGGCCTCGGGGCGCTTCCACGATGGCCCGAGAGCATTCCGAGACGCACCAGGAGGCCCCCAAGAGGGCCCCCAGACGGCCGAAGACGGTCCAAGAGGGTCTCCGAGACGCGCCCAGAGCGCTCGACAATGCCTCAGCCAGCATCCAGACGGCCCCAGAGGTTTCCAAAACGCTCCAAGTGGGTTCCACGACGAGCACCAAGAGAGCCCGAACACAGAAAAAAAACAAGTTTTTTTTTGAGGGGAAACGTGCATTTTGACAGTTCCCGGGCTTGCTCTCGTCATAGCGCCCAAGACGGCCACACAGGTTCCCAAGATGGCCCCAGGACGGCTCCTGAGGCGCTCCTGGCGGCCCACGGGGTACTCAAGACAGCCTCAAGAGTGGCCCAGGACCGCCCAAGACGACCCCCAGACGGTGCCCATACTGCTCCAGAGACGCCCAGGCAGGCCCAGACATCCCCCAGACGGCCCCGGACGGTTCGACTCCCAGCAATCACCAGACCAAGTTGGCTTTCGGAAGAACTTCAGCACAGAAGACCACCTCTTCACGACAACAGTGCTGTTTGAACAGTCTTACGCATGGCAACTCAATTTGTGAGCAGCTGCGATAGACTTCAAAACAGCATTCGATTGTGTCGACCATCAGTGTTTGTGGGAAGCACTGCGGGAACAGAGGTGTGTCCAACGCCATATATCACATTACTACAGAAGTTCTACAGCGAGTAGAGGGCCACAGTGAGGACCGACGTCAGTAGCAGATACTTCAACATCGAGCGCGGCGTCAAGCAGGGTGACCCACTCAGCTCTTACCTTTTTCAACGCAGTGCTCGAGCACGTGTTCCGGAAAACCAAGTCTGTTTGGAACAGAAGGTGTTCACATACCAATGGGGCACACGAGGGTTACTCGTCTGACCAATTCACGGTCTGCTGATGATACCCTGCTTTTGGCGCCCAATTTACGACAACTGCAGTGCATCCTACGTGACCTCAAGCACGCGGCCTCCACATGCGAACTAAAGTTACACCCAGACAACCAACATCCTCACACATACGAGCCGACAGCGCGGACGAACGACGACACACGCTGACATCGACGGTGGTAATGTCGAAATCTTCAACTCCGGGCAGAACGCAAAATACCTTGGCAAAAAGCTGACACTACACGACTACCACTGCGCTGCGCTCTCCAACAGAATTTCCGTGGGATGGTGGAAGTTCCACCAACTCCGCGACGAGGTGACTAGCAAACGATACTCTTTGCACAGCAGACTCCGGCTATTCAATGGCACGGTGACGCCAAGCGTGATGTATGGCTGCAGTGCGTGCACCCTCACCAAGGACATGTTTTTGACACTGCGACGCACCTGCGACT